CAAAAAAAAACACAACAATACAACTATGATAAGAGAGCAGCAACTATATCTTCCAAAAAAGTAAATAATAGAGATAACAAAAACAAAAACAAAACAAGTACAACAATAACAACAAGAACTTCTAAAATAGCTACAACGACAACTAACAAACAGTATCTTCCACAAAACAGTTAAGTACATGTACCACAGAACCACCTCCCCGAGACAACAGCCAGACACAACATCCCCTCCCCACATCACGGCCACAGAGACACCCACCATTAGCGGTCAGTTTGTTGACCCTCTGCACCAGGCGTTTTTTCTCCTCACTGACCCGGTCCACCAGTCCCTCCAGCCGGATGTTGTCTGCCTCCCGTGTCGACAGGCGTGCCCTCGAGTCTCCCAGCTCCTTGATCAGACGACTTTGTTCCTACAAGATAGCAATGACATGACTTAGTTTTGTTTATTATAAAGTTTTAATACAGAGAAGCACACCAATAGATGAAAGGTTATTAAGTGAAAGTAAGACAGAAAAAAACACCCAAAAAAAACAGAGGAAAAGAAAAGAAGTACGGCCTACCAGCAGGCCCTCCAACCACTCGCAAGACAGGAGTCTCCATGCCACTTGAGTTTGAGTCTTAAACTCTAGTGGTATGTTGAGACTTATATCCTGCGAATATTAAGTTGGGAGGTGCACATCAACACAATAAGTCATTAAGTGCATGGACAGAGTCAGACAGATAGGCACAGAAAACAGAGGAAAAGACTCTAACCACCTGCCCATCACTAAAATAAAGTGATCAATTATCATTGCAATTATTATATTCATTGTTAATTAGTATTATTTTCTAAATAGATTTTTTATAACAATTTTAAAGATTTTTATAACAACTTTCGAATATTATTAATAGCATTACAATGATTTTGATGATTAGCATTGTTACTTTTATTATGATTTGATTATTATCAATATTGTTACTCTTATTTTGATTGAGAGTGCTATGATCACTATCATTAATGAACAGCTCCACGGCATTCCCTAGTGCAGCTGCAACAAATGGTACGTGAGGTAGAGTAAAGAAAAAAAAGGTCAACACTCACGGCCTTGAACTGTGCGAGGGTCAGGTCCATGTCCTCCAGCTCATGACGAGATTTCTCCAGCTCGTCCTGGCAAAGAGACAGAGAGGTGAGGAGTTTAAGTTTGTGTATGAGTAAATAGAAACGCATCAATACAATAACAGTCACTTAGTTAAGGGAGAGAGTAAGACGGACAGACACACAGATAGAGGAAAAGAAAAGGAATAGGACGTTC